AATCCAAACAGGGGTGGATCACTATATTGTTACATACCAATTCTGACAAAGAATCCCAACGGTTGTGGAACGCTATTGCTAGATACCAATTCTGACCAGGAATCCTATCCCAATGGGTGTGGATCGCTTTTGCTAGATACCAATTCTGACCAAGAATGCCAACGGGTGTGGATCGCTATTGCTAGATACCAATTCTGACCAAGAATGCCAACTGGTTTGGATCGCTATTCTAGATACAAATTCTGACCAATAGCGATCCATACCCGTTGGGTTGTTGGTTGGTTGGTTGTTTAACGCCGCACTCAGCAATTTTCCAGCTATATGACGGCGGTCTGGAAATAATCGAGTCTGGACCAGAAAATCCAGTGATTGATATCATGAGCATCGATCCACGCAATTGGGATCAATGACATGCATCAACCAAGTCAGCGAGCCTGACCACCCGATCCCGGTTGTCGCCTTTTACGACGAGCATAGTCGCCTTTTACGGCAAGCATGGGTTGTTGAAGACCTATTCTACCCCGGGTGGATCGATGCTCATGATATCAATCACTTGATTGTCTGGTCCAGACACGATTATGTACAGATGGCCGTCATATAGCTGGAATATTGCTGAGTGCGGCGTTAAACAACAAACCAACCAACAACCCAACGGGTGTGGATCGCTATTGCTAGATACCAATTCTGACCAAGAATCCACACGGTTGTAGATCGCTATTGCTACGATTCTAACCAAGAATCCACACGAGTGTAAATCGGCATTGCCAGATACCAATTCCGACCAAGAATCCACACGGTTGTCGATCGCTATTGCCAGATGCCAATTCTGACCAGGAATCCAGAGTGTGGATCGGTAGCGAGGTGTTAGCTTTAATGCAAAATGAATACATTTCTATTCCTTGAGCTTTCGCTGAGCTGTGCATGTAAGCACTCATAGAAAAGTCTACCTGATCGATACTCGCAATACAGAGATCAGAGCAAATCAATTGTCGACACGTGAGTAGTAATGGCTAACACCATATGGATTGTAATTATTTGATGCTAAAGTCACGATGCGTTCATTTTGTTAAGAAATCCACGGAAACACTTATCGAAATCTTTACTTCCCTGGTTGGAATACTTATATTAATGAGATTATATTGACGACCTGAGTATCATAAACCTGTCTGACACCTTGCAGATTGCCACAAACAACCAGGTGACTCAGTCTTAACGGTACATATGATTTCGAAATGTTAACAATCGAGTTGGACTGGCATTCCAGCCATGATGCTGTGGGCATCGATCCATGCCAGCGGGGAACGTTGACACGCAATCAACCAAATCTCCAAGTCTGAGGTGAGGTGAGGTGAAATTGGGTTTAACGTCGCGTCCAAGATTATTGCACTTATATAGCGACGTGCATGCACGTGTATGTGTGTGTGTGGCTGCTTGTACTAGTCCGGACTGATGCCGATTTATAGTGCTAGCTCACTGAGATACCATGCCGCAGTTTAACATGAATACCCCACTCAGACACAGTATACTGAGTCCGAGCCGACCAGTCCTTGTTTTAGCCCCTTAATGCCGAGCGCCAGACAGGGTAACAACAAGTACAATCTTTCAACGTATTTTTGTATGACGCGGCCCGGGATCGAACCCTGGACCTTCCGCTCTCCGGGCGGACGCTCTACCATTAGACCACGGAGGCGGTCTCCAAGTCTGACAAAGTGGCCTCATCTAACTCGAAGTCCCCACCGGTATATTTCTCCATGTCATTCTGGAAAATGTAGACCTTATAGGCAAATGACTATATGCGTGTGTAGATTGGCATATGCACAAGTCCGCTGTTTAATTTAATTGGTTGGTTTGTTGTTAAACGCCGCATTCAGCAATACTCCAGCTATATGACGGCGGTCTGTAAATAATCGAGTCTGGACCACACAATCCAGTTATTGACATCACGAGCATCGATCCATGCAATTGGGATACGATGACATGCATCAACCAAGTTAGAGAGCCTGACCACCCGATCCCGTTAGTCGCATCATACGGCAAACATAGTCGCCTCTTACGACAAGCATAGTCGCCTTTTACGGCAAGCATGGGTTGCTGAAGACCTATTCTTACCCTAATATTCACGGGTCTGTTTAATTTGAGCGGCAGTCAAATCATAGCTTGGTATACCTCTACGGTTCATGGATATGCATCCCCGAATTATAAGAGGTGAGGTGAAATTGGGTTTAACGTCGCGTCCAAGATTATTGCACTTATATAGCGACGTGCATGTACGTGTATGTGTTTGTGTGGCTGATTGTACTAGTCCGGACTGATGCCGATTTATAGTGCTAGCTCACTGAGATACCATGCCGCAGTTTAACATGAATACCCCACTCAGACACAGTATACTGACTCCGAGCCGCCCAGTCCTTGTTTCAGCCCCTTAATGCCGAGCTCCAGCCAGGGTAACAACAAGTACCATCTTTTAACGTCTTTTGGTATGACGCGGCCGGGGATCGAACCCCGGACCTTCCGCTCTCCGGGCGGACGCTCTACCACAAGACAACGGAGGCGGTCCCCGAATTATAAGAAGGTGAATATGACGAACAGGAACATATGGGCGTTAATGAAACCATTTTATGTTCGCTTGTCGTTTCTTAAGTCACTGTCTTGAAATGAGACAGTTGAAAACTTCAGCTTAGTGTGTTGGGAAGGTTTCATTTGTAACGTCAGCGCAAAGGACGATATTCAGCATCTGGTTATGATATATTGGTCCTTTGTGTGCCAAGGTCCAGATCCACAAAGTGCACACAGCCTTACAACCTATTATTACGCTGTAGTTGATCTTAGGCTGATGAATGTTGTAGCGCTGCGGACGCTTTGAGGACAGAGGAGCTGAACCAGAACTAGAACGTCTTTTCGGGATGCACGTCATCATGTGACTGCGATGAAGCAGCGCTTATGCTCATATCACTCCCTCTGAATGACGAGAACATGGTGATACATGTACATGTGATTCATGAATACATAGTTTCGTGGTTGCAAAATCTTAAAAAGTATAACACGAAAACTGTGTAGCATACATAGATATGATTATGTACAAAATCAACTTTAACAAACACTTTGCTTGAAAACTACGAGAACGCTGTTGGAAGCGAAAGAATACACGCTGGTCAAGTAACAAACATGGCGCTTTCAAAACGAACAGTTTCGATTGACGACTTACATGAGATATTTACATTTTATAACGAAACATTTTCTAGAGAATAACAAACGGCTTGAGGCGATATTTACTCCATAAATGACAATCTGTCATTATTTTGCCTGTGAAACGGAAGAAAACAGGAAGTCAAGAGTTTGTGTAGGGGCAAGACACTTACGATAAAGGGAGGACATTAGAGGTGAGATAACTAGTGTGTGACCACAGTGAAGTATCAAGTGTTATGTTCACTGCAGTGAAAATATCACTTTTCTCAACTTCGGAAAACTCCATCTTTCACACTGAACTTCTTTCAGTGGTATTTAGAAGTTGGGGTGATGAAGAAAGACAAGTTCTTTGGATGAACAACTTCTTTATTACAATTAGTGCAACGTTTCGGTGTAGATTCTAACACCTTTATCAAGCAAGTGATATACTGAAGTATATAATAAAACGTTATATTTATAAACAAATTTGTCACACGTATTTGGCCATAACAATATTATTTATACAGGTTAAAACACGAGCTATAGGCCACAAGTAACCAAAGCTAGGCCACCTCGCTGTGGATCATGGGGACTTTCGGTTCCTGCAAGATACCCCAGCAGGATTAACGTCATCACTTTAACCACTGGTGGTTGTGCACAAAAATTATCTTGGAGAGCATTCATACATTATTAGTTCAGCAAACAGGATACAGTTAGCTGGTACGATTGTGCAGATCGGACTGAACTACAGGCATGAACGTCGCGAAGGCTTAGCTATGCTGGAAACTGATCGATGAAATAGTCTCAGTTGCGCGCCTTGCCCTTTAAGACTACTATAACTGAAACCAAATGTGTCGTGTCAATTACTGGTAATCAATGATGAAATGATAAGCCACTGTTAACCTGTGTGAGGGCGGTCGGGTAGCCTAGTGGTTAAAGCGTTCGCACGTCACGCCGAAGACCCGGGTTCGAGTCCCGACATGGGTACAATGTGTGAAGCCCATTTCTGGTGTCCCCCGCCGTGATATTGCTGGAATATTGCTAAAAGCGGCGTAAAACCATACTCACTCACTCACTAACCTGTGTGAAGAAGTCCTCACAATCAACAAATGGGAGGTCACAGATAGTGCGAACAATAGTCAACCTATCACCCATCTACACGCCTAGGCAATCCAGAATCAAATTGAAATAACTGTTTCATTTCCTTATAGTGATACTGTGGTTCAAGATTATTAATGATGCACGAAAACGCTCTTGTCTAGGGAGGAGGCCGGGGAAAATAAGAGGGGTAGAGTTTGAGAGAGATTGAGAGTAGATTCGACAAGGTATAAACAAGTTTGAGCGAGTGGTTGAGAATACAGAGTATATTAAAAATATTTTTAAGCCAAATGGTAGATCTTACAGGGTATTGAGAGAAGATACGGGATAAGCAAAGATAAGGAGATACAATCGTATAAGCATCTAAGCGATGTTGATGGAAGTGCAGAAGAAATAAGCTAGCTATAGCAGGAGAGCATGGGCAATACATAACGTTTATAGAGAATACATTTTGGAATGTAGACGGGATTAACTGTCACTAATTACAAGCAATTGCAATGATGCCTGAACTACGCTTTCACTACCTATCGCTCGTTGAGGTTCGAGTTCAAACATACGTGTTCCTATTTAAGTGTTAGACTCGCCGTGAAACATTGCGTAGAGTGACATAAAAGTTGAATATCTAACTTCTGTCACTTATTAAGGATTGCAATAAGAAATATATCATCCATCCTATGTTGTCATTATTTATCTACTTATAAATATCACCCGAAGAAGAAAAAACAAATTCAACTTACAGATGTTACTCCTTCAATATCCTCCCTGCTTTCACGTTGTTCTTCTGTGGGCGACGCTGCTGTACCCAGCACAGTCTCTCTGTATCCCGTACAATGTGTCTCCCCTCGCTCCAACCTCAGATCAATAAGTCTAACTGTGAAGGCAAGGGATTTAATCAGATGGGAGTGTTGACCAATTAAAGCCAATGTAAACAAATGTTAATGTAGAGAGGTTTACACGTATGGAATGGTGGACAAGAATGAGAGACGCTGATTGGTCAGATTATTGAATGGACATTTCCCAACAACATTTACTTACAGCTGTGTGAAACTGCAGGAATAGACGCAACATTGTTTGTTCAGAAGTGGCTAACAGTGTTTGGTTTTCACTGGGGTGTAGGGATTGGTGAGGGTGTTGCTAACGTTCTTGTTTGCTAAAAATGTTTTTAACGTAACCGAGAAAATATATTGTTCTGGCTCAAGTTGTGTTGGAGACTCACGTAGAAGAAACACTGAAGGGTTTTCAATAGTGATCAGTGAGATTGAAACATAATGTCTCTTTCACTCAAGTTCCTACTGAAGGCAGGGAATTATTAAAGTATTAAGTTACAATACTTAAACGTAAGGCATTAATTTGCTTACCAAGGGTGCATGCACCACACCTGAGATATATTTGATCAAAGACTTCCTTTTAACTGTTATATGGCAGTAAGTGATTGAAGCGTTGGTAAAACATTGAGTGCTGTCGTGGCCATATATCTAACGGTACTCGCTAAAATTATAATTAGGGTAATCCGCCTTTGTTTGAACAACAAACATGGCAAACTCGATCGTACGAGATATTTCAGGATGGGACAGTTTTTAGAATGCTGGCAGTGTCTAAAAAAAAGGCGATGCGAGGCCGTTTTCGGCCTGACTTGATTCTTATTTCCCATGTGCGATTTGGCTACCTAAAAACATCGAATTCGTGTCAACTTCCAACCCTATTTTGGATTCAAGAACGGAGACAGTGACACATTTCGTGACATTTGTGAGTGTACTTACATTGTATAGAGCCTGTTACTTATTGGTGTTGCTACTTAGTTGATCCATAGTATTGCCTGTTATATTTTTATGCCTAAAACTGTGTGCGTGAATATAATTCATTGATTATTCATTGATTTTGTGTGATCATTCACCGATTTCACAATTTATTTCAGTACTATCCGTTTTCTGTGTAACCTCTGCGTTTCATTTTGGAAAAACCTCTGCGTTTAATTTTGGAAAAACCTCTGCGTTTAATTTTGGAAATCATCTTCAACAGAAATCGGGGGCTCATCCGAGATCTGAATTAAATTTGCCGAAAATTCTACATTTGTGCACAAAGCCTTCAGTGCTAAATGCGTCCATGTTCCGTCGTTGCTTTACACAGGATTATTATGAAATCGGTATTTGTAACATGGAGATTAAGGTTAAGACATCTGAGTAGTTTCCAAGTAAGGAGAAAATCGTAGTTTTGAACTCAATATTGTAGGCTGAGGATTAGTGTTCTAGCCGTAATGTTAACCTCCAATGAGTGAAAAGGTGAAATTAAGAAAATTGTTGAATATTTGGATGAGGAGGAACTTTTGGGTGATTCAGCTTTGGCTTTGCTCAATGAAAAGAATTTTAAGTAAAAAAGCTGGAAATGGATTTTCAAAGAGAGGCGAGGGAACTAAAATTGAAAGAAAGGAAATTCAAAAAGAGAGAACAAAAGAGGAGAGAGCATTCAGATTTTTTCTCTTTGCATATGTATTTATGTTCACACCATGCATTATTTAACCAAGATATGATTGTATGGTTTTTATGTATACACACCTCCACTCGGATTCGATTTGGGGTGGAAAAAACATATGTTGGACAATCTGAATATTTGAGCTGGAATCTGAGTGCGCAGGCAACAAATAAAATACCCAGAAGTACGTGGTATGCCTTAAGGTGTACATCTCGACGTGTGGAAATACTATTTACAATTTTTCCTGTAAATAAAATGTCTACAACGGACAAACTGAAAGGAACACTCAAAGAACAAAATTCATAAATAAATTCAATCCTGCATCCAAAGAACATAAATATTACATCAAAAGCTGTTGGCACACAACTGCACAATACACCTGCGCCGTTCTCCGCTATCAATGTATTGTCGTATGATGTCATAATCTGTGTAAGCTTATTCTCCCTGATGATACGAATGAAACATATCGGAGAGAGTATATATACTCAACAACAAAAGTTCCTGTGACGCCAATATTTTGGTGTATTTTTCAAACAAGTAAAGTTTGGTTTTCAATATTGTAGTACATGTATGGAATCAAGTCACAGAAACGCAACTGCTACAGAAAAGCATGAATTCCATGCAAAAATTGACTTTGATGCAAGCCCCATGCATTTCACTACCCAAGAATGGGTATAACAACATGTGCGTTAACGGGATTCCATCTGCATTGTTTAGCATCGTGCTTACAACAACCACTCAGGAAAATAACAAAATTACGCAATTATTCAACTTTACGAAATGCCACGCCTATCCGAAAATGAGCGGCTGCGAGCCATTGGTATGCTTGAAGCAGGATCGAGTCAACGTGATGTTGCAAGACAATTTAACGTCCACAGAAACACCATTTGGTGTTTATGGCAACGTTGGCAACAGACGAATGCAGTCAGAGACCATCCTTGGAGTGGTTACCCACGCGTAACCAATAATCGACAAGACAACTGGATTCGAACAACACACCTACGAAATCGATTCCAACCAGCAACAGTGACTGCAAGAAGCATCCCTGGCCTTCGACGAATATCTTCACAAACCGTATGTCGCCGCCTCATATGTGCAGGGATTGTCGCCAGAAGACCCGCCAGACGTCCCATTTTGACAGGAAACCACCGTCAAGCACTCCTACAGTGATGCAGACAGCGTCTACGCTGGACGGCCATGAAATGGGGACAAGTTCTATTCCCTGACGAGTCTCGTTTTCACCTCAGCCACAGCGATGGGCGGATACGAGTGTACCGACGTATCGGTATCGGAGGTAAACGTTACGTCAATCATTGTGTCATGGAAGAAGATCGGTTCGGGGGCGGCAGCGTTATGGTATTGGATGGGATTACAGCAAGACAGAGGACCCGTTTGATAGTGGTAGAGGGAAATCTCAATGGACAGCGCTACCGCGACGAGATCATCGGCCATTTTGTTCTACCGTTTTTGCGTCGTCATGGCCCAGGCATTACCTTTCAACATGACAACGACCGGCCTCATATTGCTCGACTTGTTCAGGATTCTCTTCAACAAAACAACGTGAATGTCATCCCCTGGCCGGCTCGTTCCCCTGATCTCTCACCAATCGAGCACATGTGGGATGAGATGGATCGGCGCCTTCGACGTCAACCACGTGTTCCACAGACACTCCAGGAACTTGGAAACATGCTCCAGCAGATATGGACAGATATCCCACAGGACTTTGTACGACGCCTGGTCCATTCCATGAGACGAAGATGTGTTGTTTGCATCGCAACCAGAGGTGGACACACACGCTATTGATTTGTAAATTGACATTTGTGCATGTTTAGTGTTTTTTTTAATGAAATCACGCATTTTCTGAAGTCAGTGTGGCAAATTAAACCATTTGAACACTTACAGGAGTCTTTTATCTGTTGCAAACCGAAACTGTTTCAGATTTGTTAAAAAACATAACTTTGCATAAAATCTTATTCAATGTCACAGGAACTTTTGTTGTTCAGTATATATCGTGTCACGTATTCCTGGCACCAAACCAGGCATCGTTATATACCAGGGGCCGTATTCATAAAAAGTCATAAGTCTGAGAAAATTCTAGGAAATACCAAACGTTACTCTTAAATACAAGAATTTTCTTAAAAACATTTATAAGAATTTACCATTGATAAGAGTTAAGAGTACTCAAGAGGACTTTCAGTGATTTCTTAACCCTTCAAAATGGCCGTCATTCACAGACACGCATATACCACCTGGGAACTATGAGGGAGTATATGGTGGTATTTGAAGTGACTGCTAGGTACTTATTCATATCCATACAATCTGTGACAATCATTTCATATTCAGACATGGACTCACAAACATAATATTAGAGTTTTACCATGTTTATAGCTGGTTGGTTGGTTGGTTTGTTGTTTAACGCCGCACTCAGCAATATTCCAGCTATTTGACGGCGGTCTGTAAATTATCGAGTCTGGACCAGACAATACAGTGATTCATATCATGAGCATCGATCCACGCAATTGGGATCGATGACATGCATCAACCAAGTCAGCGAGCCTGACCACCCGATCCCGTCAGTCGCCTTTTATGACAAGCATAGTCACCTTTTACGGCAAGCATTGGTTGCTGAAGACCTATTCTACCCCGGAATCTTCACGGGTCTAACCATGTTTATAGCAACACTTGAGCATCTCAGATGGAAGGAAAACAACACTACATGATGTGGCCTCACTGAAGCAGGAAACAAACGTGGAGGATGCTTACCTGAGCAAAATGCCACACTGGACCTGTAATATCACACTTTAATGACACATTCATGTCTAATTCGGATGTCCACATCCTTTGACTTAATACTCAAATGATCATGTTACTAATGGCTATGATTAAGTATCATAATGTTTGTTTACATATGACCTATGTATTCACTTACCACTGCTGCTGGGATATTTTCTTGCATTTGGTGTGTGTATTGGCTTTGGACAATCACAAATAATAATTACATAGGGCGCAGCAGTGTGTGGCATTGTGCTGCAAGCAACGCTTCTTTCTAAGTTTTGATCATTAGATTGGTTCCCCTTCGATTTAGGTTGCTCCTAAATTAATACAGGAAAATCACTGAAATATGATTGTTTTCATAAAACTGTCAAGGAAAATGTTCAAAACATTCTTTTTTGTATCTATTTTAAGAAATATATTTGAGGGGATTAATCATCAGGATTTGAGAAATATGAAAGCGTGGTAAAATATAATTCGTTTTTCAAAAAATAATTTTGGACGAAGTCCCATGATAGAACCTAGTGTTGTTTACTTCTTTAGTATTGTGCAGAAGTATGCTCTTAAAAGTG